CTACAAATGGAGATTCATGCAGGTGGGTGGTCTCAGAGACTCAAACCTTTGAGGAACATTGCTGGGAAAGTGCCAAACTAAACAAAGCACAATCTCCATCAATTTACTTGCCAGTTGCAAATCTGGAAAATTCTGTGTATATTAAAATCATGCAAAATCATACTTTGTTTTTAAGTATAAAATAGCATCTAGGTTCAGATAATTATAAACAGATGTTTCACCTACACAAATGTCTTCTAAAACATCAAAATATCATGTGGAATGTGGAACAATTCTTTGTTGGTCAGTGATGCACTATTCCATAAAAAATATTTAGAAACCCTGGCTCCCCCTAAATTCTAATAACATCCCACAAATATCATGACAAACAGAAGTAGCCCCATAAAATTCCGCAAATGAATCCTGATAGACAAAATCAACCCCACCAAGAACCCCTTACCTTTGTCAGTGGTTTTATTGAATCATCAAAGTTGATTTTATTAAAAAGCAGAAGAATCAGAACTCTAATCCAGTGCTATTTGATTGTATATATCCATATACACACAATCATGTACATGTTTCATTTGTATATTTTTATACAGGTATGATGATATTTCTATTTGTTTTTAATTGAAAAGTCATCTAGTTGGTATTTGTGTATGAGTTTCATAAAATCCTGTTCTGACATGTTGATGAAAATGAGTTGTCATACTGCTTAAAAATTCAGGCAAAAAACAGTTGTGCGCGTAACACAGTCTAATGGTGGGAAAATGTTGCATTTCCTAATTTCTGTAGACTCTTCCATTTCTGATGATATGGCTGTTTAGGTAGTGAGACTTTCTTTTTACTGAAAACAGATGCAAAGTTAAGGAAGTTTCTAAGACCAACCTCACTCCTGACACCAATTCTATTTTTGGGAGTTTCCAAGATACCCACAGGTTTAATAACTTGCTAGAAGGACTCATAGAACTCTCTAACAGCTGTTGTACTCATAATTATGTTTTATTACAACAAAAGGATATTGATGAAAATCCTCCAATGGTACAGAAACACAGGGCAGAGTCCATGAAGCTCTGTTTGTGGAATGTCCATACTCTTCTCTTAGCTGAATCAAGAACAGTACTAACTTCTCCCAGCAATGGCATGAGACAATGTGCATATAGATTGCCAGCCATGAAACTTACCCGAGCCTTATCTAGAGTTTTAACAGGGGCTTAGTTACAGATGATTGTCTGTGTGGCTGACTTTCAGTTTCTAACCCCTTCAAGAGACAAGCTGATCCTAAGAACAAGAACCCAATCCTGAATCATGTGATTGAAACTACTGGTATGGTCCAGGCCCCTCGTTAAACAAAGATGCTTTTACCAGGCAGTATATCCCATGGGCTTAGATCACCTCCTACAAGCCAAGAGCAATGACCAGGCTAATTTTTGAATAAGGTTGATTCTTTACCATACCACAACCTAAAATACTACATAATATTTAAAAAAACCTTCTTTTTAAAGAACATCAAAGAGATGGCTGAATAACTGAATTATTAAGCCAAAGTTAGGATTCCAGAGAGCCAAGGACAGTACTGAAGCTTGGCAATACTTTGCATCTCCAGTGGGCTTATACACTTGGTCGCAAAGTGGTGATGGATAAATCAAAGCCCAGGGACTGCCCAAGATGGGAAATATAATAAGAGACCCTTCTGCTCTTAGTGTCAGGGCCTCAGTGTGTAAGGTAACGCAGAAAAAGAAAAGAAAAATCACCTGACACCTTCTTCCAAGAGAATACAAGGCTGTTTACATTGGCAGGGAGCAGTGAGGGAAGGAGAGAAAGATACCCTTGAGCTGTAACAGCAAGCTGATCTAAGATAAAGATTTATGGCTGATAAAGCTCCAGGTCTGAGAATTTTATTTAAAATGGCCTTGAAGTGGTAGTACCTTCTACCACCTGGCAGGAGCAAATTTCAGTTCTCTCTGGAGGAAGGCACCCTCATCTTAGGCCTCAATGGTTTCTCACAATTAATTTTCTGGAGAAAATGAGCAGCTTATAGTAGAGAATATCTAAGCACCTAAAATAAATTTGACACAAGGGTAGGAACCAACATAATATGAGACAGCACAAAACTGACCTAAAAATATTGAAAATATCAGAGAGAAAAGAAAATAACTTGTGGCTGGTGCTGTGGTGTAGTGGGTAAAGCTGCCATCTGCAGTGCCAGCATCCCATATGGGTGCCAGTTCAAGTCCTGGCTGCTCCACTTCTGATCCAGCTTTCTGGTAGGGTCTGGAAAAGCAATAGAAGATGGCCCAAGTCCTTGGGCCCCTGCATCTGTGTAAGAAACCAGAAAGAAGCTCGTGGCTTCTGGCTTCAGATTGGCTCAGTGCCAGCCATTGCAGTCATTTGGGGAGTGAACCATCAGCTGGAAGACCTCTCTCTCTCTCTCTCTCCCCGCTCCCCTCCGTATGTCTACCTTTCAAATAAATAAATACATATTAAGAAAAAAAATGACTGTGATCCTTATGTTTAAAGAAAGTTAAGACTCTGATTGCTTCAAAAGATATTAGGAGAGGGGCAGGCATTGATTTTGTGCAGGGGGTTTAGCTTGTGATACTGAGTGTTCCGCTTCTGACCCAACTCCCTGCTAATGTGTCTGGAAAGTAACAGATGATGGCTAAAGTACTTGAATCCCTGTCACACATATGGGAGACCAAGGTGAAGTTCCTGGTTCCTGGATTTGGCCTGGCCCAGACCAGGCTGTTGAAACCATTTGAAGAATGAGCCAGTAGATTTATGAGTCACTGTCTCTCTCCCTCTGTCTCCCCCTCCCTCTGTCACTCTGCCATTCAAATAAATAAATAAATATTTTAAAATATTTTATGAAAAAGATATTAAGAGCTGCCTCGTCATGTAATACACTCACATAGACAATAAATAGAAATCATTGATCTTCCGAAACTGTTTACAGAGTTATGGATGGACTAAGCTGGCTGTAGTAACAAGTGCATTCTGTCCAACCTTTGATCTTTTAAATAAAAAAAAAACTGGAGATCTTATAATTTATATTACCCAGTTGTGTTTGAAAAAGAAGTGTAAATATAGCTGTTCCTCAAGCATTGTACCACACTTTAGAGAATAAAATTAATTTATTACTTATCTGTTCATGTGTAATATACCCAATATCTTTAATTTTGCTGTTCAGTGAGGATAATAATAGCATTGACTCAGTTTTTTAATAAAATAAGAATAACATTGGTATTGACTCCCTAGGAATATTTTGAAGACTAAATCAGATAATACATGTAAAATTCTGTGCATACCTGGTTGATAGTAACTGATTGACACAGAGTGGCTTCTTTTAAAAAAGGAAAACATGGTGTTTAAAAGAGGATTAATTATGGGCAACTGTTCTCTTGACACAAGTTGTACAAAATGGCATTCCTTTAAACAGTGCTGTATGTAACACACATTGATTAAAACAACCGTTTCTTCTTGGATAAGACATGCAGACCTTAGAGGTAGCGGGCATTGTCAGTGTTTACCCCATCTGGCCATTATGTCCCTCCTGTTCCAGTTCCTTCTCACCACTAACTTTTCTCTTCCCTTTGATTCCCATGTCTTCCTGTTACGGGAGAATGGCAGGGTCCTTGTCTTCACACAAGAAAGAATTCAGGCGTGAGACAGAGAGTAGTAGAAAGCAAATAGCAAGGTTTATTAGGGTAGGGACATCTATAAGAACGGATGGGCTAGCCAGCACCGCGGCTCACTAGGCTAATCCTCCGCCTTGCGGCGCCGGCACACTGGGTTCTAGTCCCGGTCGGGGCGCAGGATTCTGTCCCGGTTGCCCCTCTTCCAGGCCAGCTCTCTGCTTGCTGTGGCCCAGGAGTACAGTGGAGGATGGCCCAGGTGCTTGGGCCCTGCACCCCATGGGAGACCAGGAGAAGCATCTGGCTCTTGCCATTGGATCAGCACAGTGCGCCGGCCGCTGTGGCCATTGGAGGGTGAACCAACGGCAAAGGAAGACCTTTCTCTCTGTCTCTCTCTCTCTCTCTCACTGTCCACTCTGCCTGTCAAAAAAAAAAAAAAAAAAAAGAACTGATGGGCACCTCTCCAGACAGAACCTGAGAGAGAGTGCCCAGTCGTGCAGAGTGGGGGAGAGCAAGGTTACATGGTTGAGTGGAGAGAATACACCTGACCAGGCCAGGCGGGCGGCTCAACATAGAGGCAAAGGGCTGAGCACGCAGTCTGGTTGAGGCCAGGGGTTTTTAAGGAGATGGGTCTTGCCTCCCCACCTCTGCTTCTCCTGGACCAAAGGACTTCTTGGATGTAAATAGAAAAATTCTTATCTGAGTTTTCCCCCTGAAGTTATCAGACAGGGGGAAGCCTGGCTAGCACCACCCCTGTTAGAGGAAGGATGGGCAGGACCCCCTGGAGGATCAGGATCCAGAGCAGGATATTTGAAATGCAGATACTGGGTTGCACCTGGAAGATGATCAGGCAGAAGGGGCGGGGACCCCCACCTGGCAGGTTATTGGGTAGAAGGGGCAGGGCAGGATGCAAATATTGGGCTGCCCCTGGAAGGTTATTGGGATGACTTTGAGATGCATATGCTGGACCTAACTATCAACTCTTTAGGCCTTTGTCACACACATATAAGCTCATATCTGACTTCCTACCTAATATTCCTACCCTGTGAACATGTAAACAGTTGGACAGCTCTTCAGCAATGTTAACACTTCAAACATGTGAAAACTATTTTAATGTGTCTGTGATTCAAGTTGAGTAAATCAACTTGTTTAAACTTTATAGTTGCTCAGTTTTCCAAAGCCATAATCGTTATTACTTTAGAGCCCATGTCTGTTTTATCATATCCACTTAATTAGGGAGTGCAAGGAAGACATTTTATTCAGCCATGTCTGACTAATGCTGATTCATTTGGATGATGAGTTTCCTCTCCGACTTACATTTCCTAGCACAGTACCATTCCTGATTTTGTTCTTTCAAAATCAGGAATGGAGGAATGTGGCCTGCAGGTCAAGTTTATCCACTGCCTGTTTTTGTAAATAAAGTGTTACTGGAACACTGCCACACGCATTTATTTAAGCATTGCCTGAATCTGTAGCTGCTTTTGTGCTGTAACCACAGACTGAGTAGTTGTGACAGACACCTTCGGACTCACAAAAGCCTGAACTATTTACTTTGCAGAAGATGTTTCCGACCCTGGCTTTCACACGTAATTATGCTGCTGAGGTGTGTTGCCCTCGAGGCCTTCTCTGTCCCTCTCCCTCCCCTCTTGTTCACTCTGCCCCTCAAACCATGCTGGTCTTTCAGTTCCTAGAATACAGGATGTTCGCTCTGCCTGGAAATCTTCTGCCCACAGCCAGCTGCTTCTGATCTTTTATAGTTCTAGCTCCTCTCACCTCCCCAGAGAGGCATTCTAACCACTCTACCTACGTAGTTCTCTTGCACACACTTGTTCTTTTGCACATAACTGCTCTTTTCTGCCAAAGAACTTACCATGATTGGAAATCAAGTTTTTGTTTGTTTACCCACACTTGGTTACAACCTCTTTCCCTGCTTGCCCGGGAATTCCATGAGTGAGGATTATCTGTTTTGTTTACCAAGGAATCCTCAGAGCCTGGCATGTGATAGTTAATAGCTAAATAACTGAACAAGTAAGTTGCAAATTGTGTCGTGTGTAAGGACCTTCATTTTATTTTGCAATTTGTGCTTTATCCTTAAGTATAGTACTTTGCTTTGATAATGTTTGTTGGATTTTCTCTCCTTTGCTCCAAATTATCAATGTCATGCTGTATTTAAATTTTTCTGTCCTTTGTGTTAACTTCTTTTCCAGCTTGATGCTATTTGCAAATGTAATGAACACTATTTGGATATTTATGTGGTTAGGAGCAGAAGAGGGAAGACAGGTTGTACTAACTACTCTGTTATATTTGGGACATTTCAGTAATAGGAACACTGAATCTTCACATAGAGAGTGTCAGCTTGTTCCTGAATGAAACGCTGGAAACAGTATATTAGAATATTAATGAATATCTTATAAATGTCATAATTTTTGTTTCTGGAATATTTGTATGTTGATGCTAGTATATACATTTTGATTTCTAGAAAAGCACTCCCATAAGCCAAAATTGATTACACTTACAAAGTATTCTCTAATTACAAAAATTTTCCCTTAAAAACTGTCTGCAGTAAATGCCTCTTTAGAGTAAAATGAGATGCAGCAGAGAAAATGAGAAGCCGTATGCAATGTACCAATTACAGGTCTGATTAAACTGTGGCTCTGCTTTGCAGGGATTGCTGTACCAAGATGAAAGCTTTGTTATTGCCAGTCCCACTGTTCACATCTCCCTGCTATGCTCCATCAGACCAGCCTCTGGGTAAAAATCCAACAGCTCCTTAACAAATCAAGAACACTAGCCAGAGGGGAAGAGAGCTCAGAGAACAGGTAAGACCAGTAGTTCTTAGAGGGCAGCATCAGCGTCACTGGGAAGAGGGAAAAAATGCAAATTCAAGGACCCCATCCAAGCCCTACTACATCAAGAACTTGGTGTGGTATGTGCAAGAAAACTTCTATTCATGATATTTGTTAAAGGTGTGAGACTTTATTCAAAGGAGGGTATGACGTTGGAATTTTATAGGAGGCAGAAGAGATGGGGGCCTACCTCCAGATACAAGGAGAAGCGGGAATTTATAGCAGGGTGCGGGTCAGGGGATAGTAAACCACAGAGAGGAAATATCAGGGTAAGGTAGGGGGGACTTCTGTCTACAGAGACTTAACAGGATTCATGGTGAGTGTAGGCCAGGGTGATCAGACATCACCTGGGTTGGGGATTCTGGCTAAAACAACAGTAGGATTTTTGCTAGAATGCACAATGCAGAGATAACACAGGAACCTAAATTCAGTAGCCTGACTATAATTTGGTGAAGGAGAGAATCTTTTATTAGGTATGTGTGGTGTCAGAGGAAGCCAGCAATCTGTGTTTATATTTTAATTGTTTTGCTTACCTGAGAGGGGGAGACTGGTTCATTCCCCCAGATGCCCATAATGGCTGGGCTTGGGCAGAAGAAGTGGAATGAACTCCTGTCTTCCTGGGTGGGTAGCAGGAACCCAATTATTTGACCCTCAAACTGTGTCCCAAAGTTTGCATTGGTGGGAAGCTGCAGTCAGGGGCTAGAGCCAGGACTGAGACCCAGGCACTTTGATGAGGCACATGGGTGTCTTAGCTACTCAGCTAAAGGCCCACAACAGCAATCTGTGTTTTACAAAGGAAATTTTGATTCAGATGAAATATTCCAGTAGACTGAAAAAATTATCCAAGGTGGTGTTAGGTAGGATGTAGGAGGCCTGTGATAAAAGTCAGAGGTCCCCTAACTATATGTTGAAGAGTGAGGCCCATTCTCTCTTGATACCTGCTACAGTGTTGCTTCTAGGATGAGTATCAAAAGTCCATGAATTTCTTCTTGGTTTTGGAGAGGTCTCCCTCAGGTAGGCTGTATACACCTCTCTCTCCTGTCTCACATGAGAGTAATAACTGGCCCAGGACCTTCTCTGCCGTGCACACTTACTTGCCACAACTTTGATCTCTGCTACTTTTATTTTTGCCATAGAAATTTACCTTGCATTTCCCTTGTTAACCTTTCTCTCCTGTCTTCTTTACTTTGTGGATTGATGAGGGAGAAAGAGTTTGGCATTTGAACAGCAGTTCCCAAATTTTAGCATGCATCAGAACCAACACATTCTTATTAAAGCAGTGATTGCTGATCTCCCTTCGTCATCACCAAACATCTGACCCAGGGCTCAGGGATTTGCATTTGTAGTTTATTCCTTGAAAAGGTTGTCAGTCTGGGGACCACACTTTGAGGAACTACTATTCAGGGAGATTAAAAAAATCAGTTTATGATCTTCTGTATATAAAGAGAATTGAAAATGAATCCTCATGTGAATGGAAGGGGAGAGGGAGTGGGAAAGGGGAGGGATGCGGGTGGGAGAGACGATATGGGGGGAAGCCATTGTAATCCATAAGCCGTACTTTGGAAATTTATATTCATTAAATAAAAGTTAAGAAAAATAATAAAAAAATAAAACAAATAAAAAAAATCAGTTTAATTCATCAAATAGTGCGTGAGTGCCTAAAACAGGTATGTTTACAAGGTACTCATCCAAATCTAATCCTATCAGGGAGAATTTTTAATTTTTTAAATGCTTTTTTCAGTTTCCCGCTGGTCAATACGAGGAGGTGCCTATGGCATACTCAAGTTCACTGGTATTGGGCACCAAAAGTTGATTGTGCACATCTCTTTCCGATTCTGTTCAGCAGCATCACATTGGTATCTTGAAATCATTCATGGTGGCAGTATCTACACCAAAGAGATCAGAAGGACACTGGAAATCAAGGTTCCCCTCCCAACATATCCCATTCAACCCTGCTGTTTTTAAATATTCACCAGCACACTGGGAAGGACTATAAACAGTGGTCTTACATGATAAAAATCTGATATTTTCTTGGAGGAGCATGGACATAAATTGGATGGGGGTGAGGAATAATATTGTAAATATATTTGAGGGAGATCTGGAAAATGAATAAATGAAAAATGATGCATAAATGAGAAAAAATTTAGATTTATTTATTAAAAAGGAGGAGTAACAGAAAGAAAGGGAGAGACAGGATGAGAAGAGAGAGATCTTCCATCTGCTGGTTGACCCCTCAAATGTCTACCACATCCAGGACTGGGCCAGACCAAAGCCAGGATCCAAGAATTCCATCTGGGTTACCCACGTGAGTGGAAAGGACCCAGGTACTCGCGCCGGCTTCTGGTGCCTTCCCAGGCACATTAACAGGAAGCTGAATTTGAAGCAGAGTATCCAGGACTAAAATCGGTGCTCTGATATGGCATGTCAGTGTGGCAAGCAGCAGCTTAACTCACTGCATCACAATGCCAGCCCCTCAAAAATTTTTCTTGCACTTAAGTAAATGTATCTTTTAATTCCATTTTCCAATGAACTTTTTGAAGTCCTTTGGCACATCTTCTAAGGAAATGTGAAAGGGAATGGTGAGGTTAAAGGGTATATTCAGCAGCTTCTTAGGAGAAGTCGAGAGGATGGAGTAGTACATGATGTGGGTTGTGGACTTTGGAGTCAGATACACCAGGGGTCAAGACACACTCTGCCACTTATTGGATATGTGATCTTGAGAAGGGCACCTGATCTCTCCAAATTTTAATTTCTTCATGTATAAATAGAAAAAACGCATTGTTATGAAACTCTGATGAGATAAGTAATTTAAAATCTAGAATGATGTCAAGCATACTTGCTACTTTCGCTTGGGAAAGGTTAATTATTTTTTTAAAGATTTATTTATTTATTTGAAAGTCAGAGTTACACATAGAGAGAAGGAGAGGCAGAGAGAGAAAAATCTTCCATCCACTGCTTCACTCCCCAGTTGGCTGCAACGGCCAGAGCTGCGCTGATCTGAAACCAGGAGCCAAGAAGTTTTTCTGGATCTTCCACGTGTGTGCAGGGGCCCAAGGACTTGGACAATCTTCTACTGCTTTCCCAGGCCATAGCAGAGAGCTGGATTGGAAGTGGAGCAGCCAGGACTTGAACCAGCGCCCATATGGGATGCTGGCCCTGCAAGTGGCGGCTTTACCTGCTACACCACAGCGCCGGCCCCAAGGTTAATTATTATTATCATTATATTTATTAGTGGTAGTAGTAGTAGTATTAAGTATGGAGGTAACCAAAATTTGGTCAAAAATACTTAATAAGCACTTTTTATGCACCCAGAATTCTGCCAGACACCTTAGTAAGTTGTGGTTATTACCTTCAAGGAGTTTACAATGTAGCCCCATCACATTTTCTAATCACAATGAAAGAAGATAACTGAAAGGTATTTATTTAGGTGTGTATGCTAACACTTTGAAGGATAAATATTTACAGAAGAGGAAATAGACCAAAGGAATTAATAGGATTATGAACTAAAAAGAACTGAGGCTAGGAAATATAATGTGACATGGTTGCTCTTGTATTTGGTGCTTTGGCAATAACTGAAATGATTTTCTAGGCACTAGAATACTTTGTTTTCAAAGAATAAATGGAGGTTGGACCAGCGCTGTGGCGTAGAGGTTACAGCTACTGCCTGCAGTGCTGGCATCCCATATGGGTGCTGGTTTGAGTCTTGGCTGCTCCACTTCTGATCCAGCTCTCTGCTATGGCATGGGAAAGCAGTATAAGATGGCCCAAGTGCTTGGGCCCCTGCACCCGTGTGGGAGATCTGGAGGAAGCTCCTGGCTCCTGGCTTCAGACAAGTACAGCTCCAGCCATTGCAGCCATTTGGGGAGTGAACCAGTGGATGAAAGACCTCTCTCTCTCTTTCTCTGCCTCTTCTTCTGTCTCTGTGTAACTCTTTCAAATAAATAAATACATCTTTTTTGGAAAAAAATAAAAGAATACATGGAGGTTTAAAAAAATCTCTTGTTTGTACAGGAGAAAATGTCAACATTTGTCTGTTTTGAAGATAATATAGAATGGTATCACTTTACACAATGCTGAATGAAGAAAACTGGCATATTCAATTAAAACACTATTTAAGATATGATCCTGAAACAAGGAGATGATCCATCTGGCTTTTCATCTTTCATTTATGTGTCTAGTGTTAATAATAGTGCGAAGGGTTCTTTAGCATATAATTTTATAAATTGTAAAGCTAACTCATTAGTTCACATTCTGTATAGAGAGTGATAAACATTTTATTGCACATTTAAAAGCATGTATATATATATACACATATATACATACACACACAGGTGTCGTATATACACACACATACACACACACTCAATGAGTGAGGTTCTGATGTCAATATCATATTCTTATTCAATAATGGGTGGTCATCTAAATACAGGTGTCCAAGAGAAGGGTCTCCTTTTTGGATTCTTCCTCTCCTTGTGTGATCCAGATTCAGCTTATCCTCCCTCCCACTTGATTGCAGGCCCAGCCTGTGGGCTTGTGCTACAAGCACATCATTCTGTCAAATACGTACGTGTGATTTGCAGCAGCTTAACCTCTCTGATCCTCAGTTTCCTTTTCTGTGGGATGTTAAAATAATAGGTTCTGAAAAATAAGAAAATGTGTGTAAAATGCTTTGCTCTCTTCCCACCCTTTAGAAACACTCAATGAATAGTGGGGTTTATTTCCCCTTTCCTTTCAGGGGTCTCCCTATGAATTATAATTGTCTCCAGTCAGTGAATATGCACATAGGAACTCTAAGTATAGTCTTTGTAGAGGCTTTTCCTTCACCACGCTGTGTAAAATGTTGGCTGCCTGCTTTATTGGAAAACTATAACCTGAAAACTTGCTTCTTGCTGCTGTTAGAAATTATTGAAGCTCTCTCGTTCTAACCCGAATATTCTTCAACTAGGTATTGGCTAGTAATTGTTGTTAACTTT